GAGGGCAGATATGTCTAAGTTAGTAGTTAAAACGTTGATCCAGTGTAGGCTGGGATTCTCAGATTTTTCCACAGCCTCCAGACCATGGGTGAGGTGCTTCCCCATTCCAATTACTACATCGGTGAGCAGCATAAACCATCAAAAACTAATAAGAAAATGTAACACTTTTAGCTAGAACCCATGGGAGCAAAGTGTAATGATTTGCTGTGCTTTTCACACAGCTGCTGCCAGGGAGAAATGTACAGATCCTTAAATAAAAGTAAATAATAGATAATGTCTCAGATGATAGCCCTATAAATAGATGTCTGTCCTGGTTTATGACTTGAAATTTAATTTCTTGCACTTTACTCACGGCACCTAATTGCTGTGTAGCAAGCCTTATGCTCCACATCCAGCTAGTCTCAAAGTCACTTATTTCCATGGTTAACTTTTGAATAATTATCTATTCCTGTAATGCAATCTGCAGTGGAATTTTTGACATTTTTCAGTACTGTTCAGTGTGAATCTCATTTTTGTTCCTATATATTCATGAAATATTGGGGGAGCAAATTACATTTCTCACTGTGATTGACTCCTGTGCAGTTATTTGTCTAGGTACCAGCTTGAGGCTCTAAATATTTGTTGGAAACAAATTCCATTTAGATTTGCAATTTGTGAACCTAATTTTGTTGCAGTTCTAGAAAAAATTACTCATTTGAAATTAATATACAGAGTCTACACATTCATAAATGTTACTACTTAATAAGAATGAAACGTTGGCACAAAGAATTATAATTATTTCCTTCTTTTTATAGCTTGCATTAATTTTTTTTAAATTTGTTTTTTGGTTATTAAGGCCATGGAGATTGTGCTCAAGTCTTTTCTTCAGAGACAATCGTAAAGTATTTAATTGCTTTTTGTTTTTAAGCTGTGATTCTCACTAGTTCCTCTGACTGCAACAGATAGTGCGTGAAATAGAATACCAGAAAGCTGCAGGATTTCTAACAAGGGTCACAACAGTTAAATGCACCTGGCATTAAGAGAACTCTGTATGCAAAGCTAGAAGGCAGAATGAAAACTGGGAGGCTTTATTCTACTTTAGCCAAAACAGATTACAAGAAGGGCAGGAGGAAGGGCTGAGGGAACTACAAGCCTGTTAGTCTAAAATCAGTACCTGGAAAAATTATGGAGAGGATTGCACTGGGTGTTATAGAAAAGCATATAAAGGACAAGGCAATCAGTTTTTTGCTGGCAGCTCATTCACTGCAAGCTGACAGGTTATGTACTCCTGATCCTCATATTTTATTTCCAGCCAGTGTCAAATTAAGTACCGAACACAAAACCTGATTTTGCCTTTTTTATGAAATGATGTTGTTTCTGTCCAGCAAATTAGTATATATTATAATGGATGAAAGGAGAGTGGTATATTTCTAGGATTCAGTTATTGAACTAATACAAGTGTGAGAATAAAAAAGTCTGTTTAGTTGGGGTTTTTTGTAACGAAAAAGCTGAGGATATTCTTATCAATCAGGGACCTTGGAGCTGCTCTGCCCCAACATTGCAACAAGGTTACTCTTGATGTAGTTTGGTTTTGACCAGTCTTGACTTCTGTGTTAAGGTGAAAAGCCCTCCATCAGCAAGGCTGGATGGAGCTGCAGTGTTGGGGCACTTCTTGTGACTTTTTGTACGCTGTCCAATGTCACACAGAGTAGACTGAGAGAGGGTTGCAGTGGCCTCTGTTGTTTCTTTCTCACCTGGGTAATGTGTTTTAATTACTCTCAGCCAATTCAACCAAATTAATCTCACTTTTGGAAAAAGCTACTTGTTAAATTTTTATTTTGATTTTGGCTTTGGATTTATATTTTTTTTGTCTTTCAAAGCTTCAGTTCTGTTCTTTCAAAGTAATTTCAATTTTTCTGAAAAGTTAGCTGGGCTTACTAAGTTTGAACCACATAAAGAATGTTGAATTCTTTTATCTCTTATCTCTTATATATCTTATTTATTTTTCTTTTATCTCTTTATGTCTTCAGTGTACTCCTCATTTTCCCATGTCTTGAAAGTATTAGAAGTCAATGCATAGTGGTATTAATTTTAGTGCTATTAAAAAGTTCAAACAAAAACAAACAAAAAGTCTTACTGTGCCAAACCCAAAGATAATGGCATTTTTTCCCTGAACTTTTGTGGTCTGGGATTCCATAAATTACAATTCTTGTCCTCCCCAGAAAAGTGTAGTTTGTGTCATGTCAGTGGAACTCAATAATAAGGTGAGGGAAGATGAATTGGCTCCTGCCAAGATGTACAGTTAAGGGTCGTGAATTTTCTTCTGTATTGAGAAGAAAATTATTTTCTATAATTTAAAGGCAACTTTTGTGCTTCTGTCTGATTGCTGATATTTCATTTATTCTTGACTAACATCACCATGATCCTAATTTAATACCTGAACATTAATCCTATGCTGGTGCAAGACAGAGATTTTCTGTGTCTGAAAACAAGTAACCCTGCATTCATGGTCAGTTGTCTTCAGAGCCATGCCATAAAGCCATCCATCATAAATACCAGCGTGAGAAAAGCTAAGCATCTTCCTTGGGCAGTAGGTGAAGACAAGAAGAAGTGTAAATGTTTGCCATAAATCATGACAATACACAGCAGGAGGAGCTGCTGGGCAGTAGCACAGCCACAGGGATGAGCAGGCAGAGCTGGCAGCCAGGCTGGAGCTGAGAGCCCAGCGGTGAAAGCAGCAATCCAGGAAGCAGAACCCTGAGCTAGGGAAACCTGAATATCTTATCTGGGTATTCTAGGCAGCCCCACACATGTAGGAATGTAGGATATCCTCAACAAAAGTACAGCTCACTTGCCATCTCATGACAGCAGGGAAAATGCGGTCTCAATTGCCATCAGAGGTACAGCAAGAACAATAGATCTTTGCTGGAGAGCACCCAGCTGGAATAAGGGGGAGATTTCTTGTCTCTCAGACAGCTTTTTGTTAGTCCACGATTATCTAATCTAAAGTACAGAAATAGATCTGTAACACCTGACAGAGGCCCAAGTTTCAAATATAAAATCTGTATTTTTGCCTTAGGTACCTACATGAGCTCAATGTTTTTGATAGAGAGGAGCTCTTTAGTCAAGCAGATATAAACCTGGAAAGTGACAATGCTAAGAAAGTGAAGATAATTGTGTGGGCTGGGAGCATGAAGAGAGCAGTAGATTCTTTACTCTTGAGTCCAAGGGCATTCAAGAATGGTGTTATGTAGGAAATCAGATTAGGTGAGGGATGATAAGAAAGTCTCCCCTGTCTCTAAAACAGCCTAGCCTTAAAGCAAGTTTATAAGTCAGCTGAATTTAGGGGCGCTATTACAGCTGTAAATGTATCTACTTTTTAGGACTGTAATTCCCAGTAATGTACGGAAAATAATTTAGTAGACTCTTGTAACAAGAAAGACATTTTCTTCTTCAGAAGTTGCCTCTTCTCACACCCTTTTGCTTTATTTTTCCCTGAGAAATAAGGCATCCTATTGTAGCAAGAACTGCTTGGATTTCCCACGGGTCCTTTCCCATACCCAGCTCTGCACAAAGTAATTGCAAATTGTTGTCAGGATGACAGAAATAGCTGTGCCTGCATCCTGTTAACTCAGAAATGAGTCACTGAATTGTAAGGAAAAGTGGAACAAAATGCTGTGCCTGGGGAGAATATCCCACTGTGCCCTGTGTGGGTCTGTGTGTGGGTTTTTTTGCCCAGGTAAAGGATGGAGTAGTGCTATTCCCAAGGGAAGTCTCTGACTCACCTCTGTTTCATGACTGGGAAGGAGCTATAGGAGAACCTGACAGTTAAATGGGGAAAATGGATTACAGCTATGGATTCCCCTGAAGAGCACCTTTTCTTTTAACCCATTTGCTGGGAGTAGGTACCACTCAAAATTAGAGAATTTTGGCAGGCTATATATCTCAGTGCTACTGTATAGTTGGCTGTTGCTAATAGCAAAGATCAAGAAAAAACTCGTGGAAAGAACTGGACTGACATTGATTTATTCAGGTTTTTCATCTTACAGGAGCAAAAGAAGGGGACTAGAAAACATTGGAAAATATGGTTTTAAAGCTCTTCAAACAAGTTCCTTTTGTCATAAATCTTGGAAGTATCCAGTATTGTGTCACCAAGAATTGCAAGGAAGCTGCAAGGAGAACAAAACAATAGGAAATAACAAAACCTTCTCCATTGAGTCGTGACTAAGAACCAGCCATGGAAAGCCATAAAGTTTTGTAGAAAGGGGTTGGGTCCCAAACCTTGAAAAAGAGAATGGAAATATCCTACAACCTGAATTTTAAAGCTTTCCTCTGCAAGATAGAACGGGTTTATGACACCTAGGGTTTAATACTAACCCAAACCACTTTTAAGCCTGGTTGTGTAATATATATATAAGTAAAGCTGCAACTTGCCATATCCCAGTCATGATGTTTTTTCATGTCTGTTTCATGTCTGTTTTTTCTGTATATGAGTGGTCAGAACTGAAGGTTCCTGTAGCTGATGGGGAGAGCAAAAGAAGCAAAAGTTAAGTTTCTTTCACTTTGGTGGTCCCAGTCATGAATATATGGGTTTGTTTTTTGTTTTTTTTTTCCCCCTCTGCCTGTAAAAGTCAATGCACTATTTGAAAATGCTCATGGACTTAAAAAATTGAATAGTTCTTATCAAGGGAATCTTCCGCCATTTTATTAGCTCAGATAGAAAATTGATTTCCCCTGAGTAATGATAAAACAGATAAAACTGAAAACCTGACTAGAAGATGAATATCTGTATAAAAGTATAAAAATCTTCCAATGTAAGATAAATCTGAGTTAAACAAAATTTGGCATGATGGACAGAGCAACCATGACCAGTGAGGATTAACGCATAGAGAATAATGAAAATAGTTTTCACTGTTGCTTTAAATATATAACCAAAAAAATCATTTCTGGTTTCTTGGGATTTGGAATGGACACATGCAAAATAATGGAAGTAAGCATTTATATTGCTTGGTTCATTGCAGGTGTTGTGTCCCTGATCTCCCTGGCTGTGCTGTCCTACGAGCGCTACAGCACTCTCACCCTGTGCCACAAGCGCAGCCATGATTTCCGCAAGGCTCTGCTGGCGGTCGGTGGCTCCTGGATTTATTCCCTGGTCTGGACCCTGCCACCTCTGCTTGGCTGGAGCAGTTATGGGGTAGAAGGTGCAGGCACAAGCTGTTCTGTACGCTGGTCCTCGGAGTCGGCCGAGTCCACATCCTACATCATCTGTCTCTTCATCTTCTGCTTGGCTGTCCCCGTGATGGTCATGGTGTACAGCTACGGGCGCCTCCTGTACGCGGTTAAACAGGTAAGCAGCTGCCTGCTCCCGTCGTGCAGACTGCTCTGAGGCATGTTCTGCGCTTCTCTTTCATCAAATTTGGAAGTACTGATGGTAGAGAGCAAATCAGCAGGCCAAAATGAAATTGAAAAGACCACAGAAATACTCAAGGAAGGAGCATGAGGTCTTCACCAGTCTTTTTAATTCTCCTGAAGCTCCAGTCAAAATAAAGTGATAACATCTTACTGATTTTTGTGGTTGGTAACGCTGTGGAAAACAGTATATGGGAAAACTAGCATATCAGAGTGAAGTTTGCATTTGTAATGAAGTAAAAATACATTTTCACCTGTTTGTGAAAATACTTCCTCCTGGTTTTGGAGTAATTTAATAATTTCTGCTTCTTAATCTCTGGAATCTTAACTCTACAGTAATGTAATTCTACTGTGATTTATTGAGTTATCCCAAGGATCAGCTTCTTCTTGTTAATTCTAGCCCATATTTAAATTTCCCTTCTAACTACAACCACCATTTTCCACTACTACTACTAGTACTTCTCCTCATACTACTACAATGATACTTCTCTCAGTGGTTTAAGGTGCACTGTAGATATTCCAGAATGAAACAAAAGACCCTGAAAAGGGTGTGGTATTACGAAGTTTGAATACTCTTGGGACACTAATGAAATGGTTTAATGATGAATAATGAGAGAAGAATTAATGTATAGGTGCTCTCTAAAAAGAAATTCTCTAAAATGTTCAGATGAATTAATTAAGGGTGTTAAAAGGGGAAAAAAAACAGTAAATCCCTGAATTGAGACTCTCCTACAGAATTAAAGTGAATTTGTACTAGTTTGCTTTGATTAGTCATAAGGAATTAAGTTTGATTGTTTTACACAATTTGTCAAAACTTTAAGAACACTTAAAGCCCAAATGGGAAATCTCTTTGAGTACTGAGTGGGCCACTAAAATCCCTTTGATGAATCACACATTATCACTCTTCTTAAAAGTTGTGCAATATTAATATGGAAAAAAATTCCTGTGATTGTAAACCATTCAAGGGAAGTATCAGTCCATATCTGATCTCTGGACAGCAGTTTCTTTTGCCATCACCTCATACTAAGAAGCAAGATCTTGGAATATGTGGTACTAAAAAAATGCAGAAGATACATGTTTCTTAAAATTTTGGCTTATCTTTCCTTCAGCCCTCATTTCCCTTGCTGGCAACAGTCATCATCCACAATATACAGATACATGTATGGATGAAGCTTCTGTAGCGCACACTTTAGCCTCTAGTGCTAAATGTGGACTTGTGTTATTCTATTCACTTTTTTTTTTAAATTCAGCTATATCAAAGGCATTCATAATCTCACTGATCTGCCTGATGGGTCTCAAGAAGTTGTGGCAAACATACTGAGGGAACAAAGTATTATAGAAATTATTTGCAGTTTATAGACATTTTGTATTTGGTCATGAAGCCTGGGTGGAAGATTAGGTTGATTGATTAATCAACTGTCCAGAAGAAAAAAAAAAAGAGGGACGAAAGTCCTCTCTCCTCCATTTTCTTCACGCCTTCCAGAGTAATCCACAAGCCAGTGGGGTGCTGAGGTTAGAGAAATTTTGTAAATGATGGAAGTGAAAGAAAATTGAACCCAGTCTTGCATAACCTGTTGGAGGGACAGGCCTTAGGGAACAAATACTTGTTGAATGCAAAGGAACTGCAGTGAGGATTAGATCATATCTCTAAAGTTGTTGTGACTAGGGGTCCTAAGAGCTGCCTGAGTATTTGTGAAGTCTTAAATAGCTTGTGTTTTTTACACAAAATATCTAGTGCTTTCCTGGTGTTTGTAAAAGATTTTCTTGATAAGTTAAATTCACCAAAGAGAATCTTAATCAGAAAACTCACCAATCCTCAGCTTTCTGTGGTGTACCACGAACTATTTTCACCACCATAATCCTAAAACCTTGCATTTCATAAACTTTCTGTGGCGTATATATAAATTTCTTAATGAACATATCATGACACAGTCACTGAACTATAGGCTTCTTTCCCTTTAGTCCTGGTTAATTGTTCTGTAGTAAATGGGATAATTCATTAAATGCTGAAGAATGTCAGGTTTCAAACTAGAGGAAGAGATGAGCAATATGCAAATTAGCTTATAAGTTAATAACTTATAAGTTAATAACTTTAAGTTCTTTATAAAAGTACAGTTCTATATAAAAATATAAAAAGTAGTTCAATATAAAAGTACAAAAAAAGGTTAAGAGTGTTATATTCATTATAATGCTGTAACTTTCTGGTGTGGGCAAAAAGAAATAGTTATCTTGCCATTTTCTGGCCTTGTAGATTAAAGTCCTTCTGTGATCCTCTGTTAGGTATTTGAAGTAATATGGGAGCATGGCAAACATTGTAAGTGCATTATCTCAAATTCAGCTCCTTGCTACATCTTCTGATGGCATTTCATGATGGCCAGATCTATAGAAGCTTTTTACGTTAGAGCATTGTAGCAATAACAGTATTGTACCTTGAAATTGAGAGTGCAGGAGTTATGCCATTATTAATAGTGCAGTGTAAATTTATTGAGGTGGAAGAAATATCTTAAGGTATTTGGGATAGCTAATGCACTAATTGGCATGGTGCCTTCATTTTTCCTTTGCGTGGACAGTGATTATAGGTCTGCCTTTCTCTTCTTCTTCTCTAAATTTAGTCCTGTGCTGTAGCATTCTGTCACTTGAAGCATTAATAGATCCCATGATCCCAATCTGTGTAATGATAAAAAGGATTTCAGTAATACAGATTTTATGAAAGATCATCTTTTAAAGGAATTAGAAGTCAATAACATCTTCGAATAAGTGATGTTAATAGCAAATGCCATTAAACAGCATTAAAACACAACTCCACCAGTATCTCAGAGCTCTTGTCATTTATCATGCTTGAAGCCCTGTAGGAATTACATTTTTTTTTAAAGTTATGTTTTTTTTTCCCAGGCTGGCTTTATCTGGATGGTTGAGTTTGATCAAATGGGCAAAGTCTTCTCCCTCACAAAATTTATTCAAATGTATTTTATTCATGCACATTCTAGAGCACAAGGGAAGGAAATTGAGGATGGTTTATTTTTCCTTGTACAATCACATTATTTTATTTTCAGTTTTTGGCATACGATACTTCTCTGTGACTCTACTCTTTCATTCCCTCTGGAAAAATGTTCTTTATGAAGACAGTGTCAGTTGTTTACACTTTGAAAAGTGGGCTCCCAAATGTGGAATTACAGAGATTAGCATTGTGATCACTGTAGCACAAAAGACACAATGTGATTAAAATCCTCCACTGAGGGGCCCAGAGAACTCATGTGAACCAGCCTAATGAAAATTAGCAAAACTTTTAAAAAGAGATCTCTTCAGCCTGCATTATCTCCTACTTACATGCAAAAATCCTGCCCAAGGACAAGAAGAATCCCAGAAGGATGTTTCAAGAAAAGTTTTCAGTTTGGTTTTATAAAAGACTCTCATCTCATTGTCAGTCTTCTTTCATTGAAAGCCGTGCCTGAACAAAGCTTAACAACTTTTCATGAAATGTAGCTAGGATGTGGAAAACAATAAAAAAGACTGTAAACAGAGCACAAAGGCTTAAAGATGCAATTTTTACTCTGCAAAAGACTGTATGTTGAAGTAGGCAACGGGCCAGTGTTTTATAGGATTCTGGAGTAGTTGGACTTACAACATGACTTTATAGTCCTATAGTGTGGTAGCTTTTGCTTTTGGGTTTTTTTTTCCCTGTTGTTATTCCTGTTGTACTTTGTCTCTGAAAAACAAAAAAGAAAGAAAACAGAAAAAAATATTTAGGGAAAATTTAAAGACCACATGAGGCAGAAGTTGGCTTTACCAGTATCTCTCATCCAACATCCTGTGATGCACCTGTTATTGCTCAATTCCTCAAAAACTTCTAGTTTTAACTAGTGACCAAAATGTGAGTCCAGGTAGTGGAATTACCCAACTATTTCCCTTTATAGCAATTATTTTATTTCTTTTGAAAAGTGGCACATGTTTTCTGACTTCCAGATATCATAGGAGAACCAGATAACCTTTTTTTTTCATCCTATCTCCTGACTTTTATGAGTCTTGTCATCTTGTAGGGGTACTGGGAAAGTCAAAGTTACACAGTAGAGAGCTGTCTATTCCTCTTTCTTACCCCTCTTCCAGATTTCAAAGTACTAAATTTAGTGGAGGAAAAGTGCTTCCATCTCTTATGTAAGAAGTAATGCCCCAGAGTGAAATTATCACTTGGTTATAAACCCAAGAATATTAATTTTTAAATCTATATGGTGATATTTTGACTCTGTGTTATTTTTTAAAGATTTAAGATAAAGATAAACAGCAGTGGTGGTTTTGAAATCTTCTGTGCCCACACAGGAAGTAGAGGAGAAAAAGGAAAGAAGGGAAGTAAATTTTTATAATTTCTGATTCTTTAATATCTGTTTTATATCTGTACTATTTGGAACACATAAACAATATTTTAAAATTATTTATTGTATTGTTATTCATTAGTCAGGAAAGGACAACAAGGTAGAAGGACCACGCCTGTGAACATTTCCAGTTTTCCATCTCTTTTGGAAATGATCACTTGGAGGAAGAGAGCACATTAGGGTAGAATGTTTAGTGATTTAAACTGAAAAAACTCTTCACATAATGCAGAGAGTAGGATGGGAATGTAATTATTCTTCCATCATTCCTTCATGTGCTTCATGTGCCTATTTATAGAGAAACTTGATTTTCTGAAACTTCATCTTTGATGGCACTGAAATTATGATTTATGTTGAGAAAACTGATAAAGCAATTATGCACCATTAAATCTTAGAAACCTAAATAAAACCAGGTTTGTAGTCATAGGAGTAAAGTTCAAAATTTTTCTAGTTTTTTAATTAAAAATATAAGAAAAGTAATCCAGGTGAAGATGATGTAGACCTGGTTGTATGGTTCTTGTAGATCATCCCTTTCAAATGTCATTAAGTACATTCAGGGTTTGACTTAATTTCA